ATACCTCTCAATATACTTGGAAAAGAAATCAAATCGAAGTACAGCCATCCTAGTAGAACATGTTTATATTATTATTATTAAAATAATGGTTACGAATAATCTTTTTATCTTGTTGTTGGATGAGAGAATGTTTGGGGTGCCTCGTGCGATTTTGCAGTTGTGGATGAGAATTCTAAATAGCAGGTTTCACAGCTAACCTTATCAGATATGCTATCTCATCAAATACATGAAATAAATGTATTGTAGTGTAGAAACCGCTAGTTTGTCAATTACCCAAATTGTGCATATTGTGGATCTAATGTGCCCTGAAACATCTAAACACCTTTTTTATGCTTTACATTTTTTTTTTTTTTTTGGTAATATAAATTCCATGGGTATTCAGACATCACAGAGATTTTATTTTATTTTGTCTCATTTTGTTTTATTTACGAAAAAAAAAGAACGTAGGTAAGTCAGGTTTATGAAAATTAACAGAAAATAAACCATAACAGTTAGTCATTTTTTTAAAATGAATATAGCTCTATCTTGTGGCAGAAGTATAGACTTCAGTTTGAAGGGAAAAAAAGTCTGCTATTTTTTATTATTTTGAAATAAAACTAAAAAAATATTCATATTTGCCAGATCGGATGTCTCTCTTAAAAGCAAATGTCAAGCTCCTCCCGTGAAACATCAATCTTGAAGTTGCAATATCTTGGGCTATACATTAAGTCCTTCATTTCAATATTGAAGAAGTCATGTGCAGGCATATGGCATCTATATAGTTGACTGACTGGAAACATATTGCATAGGGTACGTTTTATATCTATTTGTGTTTATAATGCCAAATATATGATATTGGTTGAGATAAGGGTAGATCTGGGCATAAGAGGAATTTTACCACACCTTCATAGCATCCTTAAAATAATGGATAGAGGCAACTAACAGGTTCAAAATGTTGACAAACTAATCCAGTTTGTATCTACACGTGGGTACATACAAAGAACAAACGTTAGTTGGGTAGAGCAGTGGTAACATGGTCTTAGAACTGGGAATCCCAGGTTCAACTCCCAATTCAGCCGAAAGCGTCCCTGGGAAAGACATCTAAAGACACATATCAGCCAAGCCTCGAATCCTCATAGAGTGTAAGCTCATATCCACCTCTTCCCCTTTCTAGAATTGTAAATCACTGCAATTCAGGGTGTTTGTCATGTCCAATCGTGGAGCTTAGGATGATGGATGCATTCTCTGGACTTTTAAAAGATCTATTTATTAAAAATAAATCAACATATCTATGATTTAACTCTTTACCAATATACTGTGCCTGCACAACCTTGTAGGCCTTTTCCCCAGCTACTAAACGGGAGGTGTCTGTGCTTCTCCTTTCCTCTTGCCCCTCTAATTGTCTGCTTGATCCCATCCTATCCCCCCTTAGCAGATCTCTCTCCCCTTGTTTTGTGCCATCCTTAATGCATATCTTCAACTGTTCTCTTTCTTCTGGCATTGTCCCTGCTCCCCTTAAACATGCTACTGTCTAACCTATCCTAAAAAAGAAATTTCCTGATCCATCTTCCCCGTCTAACTACTGTTCCTTATCTCTGCTCCTTTTCTCATCAAAACTTCTGAAACAACTTTTTTGCAAGTGTTTACAAGTCATGCTTTCTCAATTCCAACTCTCTTCTTCATTGTCTGAAACCGCCCTGATTAAAGTAACCAACATCAACAGGTAAACTAATACTAATTCTTCTTGACCTCTGTGCTGCCTTTGATAGTGTGCATCATGCTCTCCTTCTGCAAACTCTTCAATCCTTCAGTCTCTGTGACACTGTCCTCTCATTGGTCTCATCCTATCTCTCCCAACATTCATTCAGTGTCTCCTTTTCTAAGGACACCTCCTCCCCTTGTCCTGTCTTGGTCTGAGTTTCCCAAGGCTCTGTTTTGGGTCCCCTTTTGTTTTCTCTATATACTGCTTTTCTTGGCAAATGTAATAATTCCTGTGGATACTGCTATCACCTGTACGCCGATAACACACAAATATATCTCCTCCCCTGATCTCTACCCCAGTGTTCTAGAATGTGTAACCAGTTGGGTCTCTACCATATCTGATTGGATGTCCTTTCTAAAACTAAATCTCTCTAAAACTGGGCTTCTTATCTTTCCTCCTCATAGTGCTAATAACTCCTCTTTTGCTTTCCCTGCGATTTGATGTTAAGCATATCAGCCCATCCTTGCAAGCTCACTGTCTTGTTGATATCTTTGATTCTAGCCTTACCTTTACACCTTGAATCCAGTCTGTTGATAAAACCTGCTAATTCCACCTAATAAACATAGCCCTTATTCACCCCTTCCTTACACAAGATTCAAGAAAAAGCTTGCTCATACCCTTGTAATTTTTTGCATTGATTACTGTAATTCTCTCCTAATTGGTCTCTTTACTGTCCGTAATAATTGTGTTAGACATTTTTTGGTGATTTGAATTCTGTGGTTCCTCAGACATAAGGGAAAATATTTGTGTTAGTTTTATTTCAGAACAAAAAGAAAGGTTTGTAAGTCAGGTTTATGAAAATTAACAGAAAATAAACCATAACAGATATGATTTTTTTCAAATGAATATAGCTCTATCTCGTGGCAAAAGAAAAGTTTTAATTTTAAAGAAAAAAAAGGTCTTATATTTTTTAATATTTTCACAAATCTCAGATTAGATATGCGGATAAGAAATTTCTGAGCAAAAAAAAGAATTTGGATTCTAAGAGCCTCGGGTTATATTTAGTTCCAGTACTGTCCTCAATACCCATTATCAGTGGAAAGAACCCTCTTATTTTGTATCACTATTGAGCTACGCCACTTTTTCTTCCTTAAATCTCCAATTTCAGTCATTTGGCAGTGGAGACGTTTCTTAGCATTTTCTTCCACTTCAATATTTTAGACAAATACCCTTTCAGTAAAATACTGTATTATTATCTCAGAAATACTATTTAAAGACAAGGAAGTGGAAGTTCTCAACAGAGCTGGCTCGTTTGTTGTTATTCTTACCTTGAAATCCAGGAATTGAAAGACTTCAATAGCTGTTTTATGGTAAATTCTGGTTCGTTGTAATGCATTGACATTTTACGCAGATGCGAGGGTTATGTCTGCAAACATCTTCAAATCAGATCTGTTTTCTGTTTGAGTGGTCAGCCTAAAATTGAAAATTAATTTTGAAATCTTGACAATTCACACTTCAGTAAACAGCCCTGAGAGAGGTTAACCTGGGAAACCTGCCCTGCCTATATTCTCCAGGCAGACATATAAAGAATATAATCAGGCATTATATAAACTAATAAGGGATTAAAATATTACTCATTAATGATTAAAAACGTGTTGATAAAAAGGTGCAAAGTCTGCTTGACAAAACTTACCAGGAAAAGCAGAAATACTTTAATGCTCACAGGAAACATGTGAGCAGATAGGTGAGCACTGACTGGTAAGTAAGATTGTTTCTGTGGCTTATTTAGAAGTCAGCCTCAAGGGGGCAATGCAGGATTATGTTGTTGTAGATCAATGAACAATAAACACATTATTTATTGCGAATTTTACTGCAAGAGAGCTCTGTGATACATTCATAAACTCTGCAAATCATCAGCTTTACATGAAGATCTGCGATATACTAATACAAAAACTACACATTATTGTGACATTTGTTTTTGTGACATACCTTTAACTCCTTGTACATAAATGTGACAATCTTTCCTCTCTGGGGATAATCAGAGGTGGGTTTGATGATCCATTGCTGGACATCCTAAATTTGTAGTCTTGGCAGCCATGTTTGTCAGCCTCAATGCAAAGCTCCATGCCTTTGAGTGATAGGGACAGTGCCAAGTGGAGGAAAACAAGGGACTGTGATTTTGTTGTTTCCTCCTCTAAGCCCTGCACACATACAGTAAGCTGCATGAGGGGAAACATCAAGGAGAGGTCTCAGGTGTAGACAGCACCAACATTTAACAGTAAGCTATTACAAATTTGTAGATGGAAAAGGAAAAAGAAAAACAGAATAGGTGGCCGGTAAATCTAGATATGTCAGGATGCATAAGATGTCTCTGATTTTTCTGAATGGTTGGATGGTTTCTGGTCATTGGTTGTTTTTATTTAAACCCATCCTTTCGTTTTAAAAAACTCTGTTTTAAACAGTGTTCTATTGTTAAAGGGATGCTATAGGCATCAAAACAACTTTAGCTTAATGAAGCCGTTTTGGTGTATAGATCATGGGTCTGCAGTCTCACAGATCAGTTCTCTCCCATTAGGAGTTAAATCCTGATTTCTGTTTATGCAGCCCTAGCCACACCTTCCCTGGCTGTGACTGACACAGCCAGTATGAAAACAAAATTGTTTAATTTTCAATCAGATTCAAACTAATTTGTATCTGTTGATTTTCAAATTGAACTTTAATAACACACTAGACCAGTGGTGTATCCTAGTTTTGTGCTGCCCTCTCCCCCCCTCCTCCCCCCACCGCGACCCCCACCCATCTCTTCCCCCGCCCCGCCTTCTAAATACACACACACACATTCACTGACAGATACGCATACGCTAGCTAACAGAAACACACACTCACTGACACACACAGACACACACTCACTCACTAGCAGACACACACACTCACTGACACACTCACAGGCAAACATACACACACAGTCAGACACACACACACAAACAAACACACTCAGTCACAGACACACACACTCACTGAAACACACACTCACTAAGAGACACACACACTCACAGGCAAGCACGCACTCACTAACAGACACTCACTAACAGACACACACTCACTAGCAGACACACACACTTACTGACACACACACACTCACAGGCAAACACACACACACACACACTCACTAACAGACACACACACTAACAGACACACACACTCACTCACATTAACACCTTTTTTTAAACCCCCCCCTCCTTACCTTGGGGAGTGCTGGGGGGGAAGGAGTTCTCTATCTCCCAGGGGTCCAGTGGCTGCTGGGCGGGTGGGCAGGCGGCTGGTGAGGGAGCACTTCCTCTGAGCACTCTGCTCAGCTCCCTCGCGCGGCACAGATTGAGGCTGGGAGCCGGAATATGACTCTGCTCAGCTCCCTCACGCGCCACAGATTTAGGCTGGGAGGTGGAATAAGACGTCATATTCCGGCTCCCAGCCTCACTCTGCAGCGCGCAAGGGAGCTGAGCAGACCGCTCAGAGGAAGAGCTCCCTCGCCAGACGCCCGACCAGCCCAGCATGTTAGTTAGCCACAGGGCTAACAAGGCATTTGCCGTGGGCATTTGGGGGGCGGCTTTTTTTGCCGCCGCCTGGAAAATGCCGCCAAAGGCAAATGCCTTGTTTGCCTCGCGGCTAAAGCGTCCCTGCACTAGACTCCTGTATGGTCTAGCAAGCTGTTTGCAGTGCAGGAGATAAGATATTCAAAATTAAACAGGATGTGCAATAAAGGAAGTTTAAACAGTAGATCTATCTTTAACTTTAAAAGAAAGTGTTTAGGAAGGCTGTGTAAGCCACCAGCAGGGACGCATGGCTAGGGATGCATAAACAAAGGGATTTAACTCATGGACATGATCTATACACCAAAACTGATCCATTAAGCTAAAGTTGTTTGGTACCTATAGTGTTCCTTTAGGGTTCAATTAAAAATTCAGGATAAAGTCTGAAAAACAATTCCTGTCTGTGCTCATTTGCATGTTGAGCTGAGAATTCTGGGATAATTGTCGAAACATGATTTAGTGCCCAAGTTAGACTTTCCCCAGTATCCAACGATGAGATATGAAGGTTGTACACAACTGGAATCTTTTAATTTGAATCAAATTGTCATTGGCATCGCAGGGAAGTCCAGGTCAACGTATTAAGGCACTAAATAACTTTTCATCTTTGAGCTTGCTAGTGACTCACTAACATGATGACATTTCATGCTCTTTAAAGTAACACCTTGTTATGTTGGGCCTGAGAACCAAAATTTAAATACATGCTTATTTTAATGGTAACTCATGTTAGAAGACTAGCCAATGGGAGATCCAATGAGGCTGCCAGACATTCGTTCACCTGTATTCAATTTCCCATCCAAGTGTGATTTGCCATAATCTGTAATCCCACATGCATTCACAATAAACTGTTCACAGATGTATCAAGAATCTGTCGATTGTCACTCCAAGACTCTTCACATGTGGGAAGAGAAAAAGTGTTGTCTCTGAAATCCATCTTACTTATATTTATACATAATACCAGTGGCGTACGGGGCTACCGTCCAAGGGGTCCATCGGGTGACCAATGCTGTTAGGGCCACCTAATGGGATCAGTTTTGCACCGGCGCCCCATGGATTGTGTGTATGCCACTCCATAATACAGATTTAGAAACAGCACATACATAACAATACATTTTTCAATTTTATATTGCTACTTATAAATCACCTATCTCAGCAAACAAATATGGGGATTCAGTTCCATCATATGGCCATATTGTGTCAGGCCCACCACAACTTCACTTTACACTAGTAACGGTGGGTCCTACACTAATTCCAATGTGGGAGACAAATAAAAAAAAAATGCAATTCAAAAAATGCAGTCTCAAAACTAAACAGTTAAAGAGATAGTGCTTTGATGTATATACTCACAATGCATATGCTATATCTGCTCAATAAAAATTATAAATAAAGTGACGTTGGGTTGGTGGCGCCTGTGGGGGCCTGATGTTGGTGCATTGAGTGGGGCTCAGGGGATGTCATGATAATAATGAGACGCACTCACAGACAGAGATAGCTCTCACCTGAGGCAGGCAGTTATACTTTAGATTTTTTACTTCTTTACTTAATTATTTTATCCCCTTTTAATTTATATAATCTGGCTGTACGTGCTTGGACTAAGATCCCTGGGGTTCAGAATAGGACCTACCCAGGGATCTTCACGGAGGGCCCTATCCTACGAGCCCCTCCACACCCCCAGGGGCACCCTTCCCCCCCCCCCTTTTTACTTTTCCCCTTCTCTTATAACGTAAGGTATCGCACTATAACTAGCCAAAGCTTTAGGGGGAGACATACGTGCCACAAACCCAATATGTTGCCTGGGCTGCGGAACCATAACCCCAACAGCTACACTGATTCTCCCATGATTCCATACCGAGTATCAGCTAAACCTATGTCACGGACCTATAATTGTGATGCACTCCCGCTGACACCAATGCAGGCACTTGAAGCTCCAGTTGATAATGTTATTAACTAACCTAATTATTCTGATTAAGTTTAATGATTACATCTTTCTAACTGTGTCCATTTATTATGCACCGTTAATGCATGTTACATGTTATTGCACTACACACATCTTTAACTACATAGACATACTTAGACTAAACCCTATAATGTAAGCATAAATTTTGTTTTACTTTAAGCACCAATTTATGCAATGCTACACGTTTTCTGATATTCAGCTCTAGAAGCAGCATGTACTCTTCGTAGTTAAAAAAAATGTGCAGTAATCTTTGACATATATGGAGAAATGGCGATATTTTTTGATGCTATACTTGGATGTGCCTTCTCCTGCCTGTTGTACTTGCAATGCACAACAAAAATAAAGAATTACAAAAAATAAAATAAATAAAGTGACGTTACTATCCAAAGCCTCCTCAAATATATACTTGTGGTCACCTCCAAAGGGGTCTCTGAAGCTGGGGGGAAATCTGGTCTGGACTCCAAACTTGCATAGCAAAGACAAAACGGAATTGGCGGCACACCCGAAACATGCATTTGGAAATGTCTTTACTTCTATTTATATGCCTTCTTATACTAAACAGGATAGAGAGTATGTATGTATATATATAAGTCGAATTCCTTGCACTCCTGGCTCAAAAGGTATCCTTGCCGGGTGCTTAATGCCCAGGGTTCAATATACAATAGGTACAATTTATATAGGCTAGCACTCACGGTCTTGTAATTAAAAGTTTCTTCCTTTATTGAAAAATCATAAAATGTGGAGATCAACGTTTTTAGTCCCGACTCGGGACTTTCCTCAGGATCATAGTCCATGATACTGAGGAAAGTCCCAGACCGGGACTGAAAAGTCGATCTCCACATTTTATGATTTTTCAATAAAGGAAGAATCTTTTAATTACAAGACCGTGAGTGCTAGCCTATATCAATTGTACCTATAATATATATATATATATATATATACATAATATTTTTTTTATATATGTATTCATTTACTTTTAAAGGTATTTGAGGTTTTTAAAGGAGTATCTTAATCACCAATGTCACAGGGGATAATGAACAATGAAAAACGTTCATTAGGTTGAAAAATGGACAGAAGACCTTCACCACCAAGAACCTGCACCAAACTTACTTTGTCCCCTCCGACACACACACATATATGGCTACAAACATATCTTACATTCGCTGTAATCATTTAAAGGACCACTATAGTGCCAGCAAAACATACTCGTTTTCCTGGCACTATAGTGCCCTGAGTGTGCCCCCACCCTCAGGGTCCCCCTCCCGCCCGGCTCTGGAAAGGGGAAAGGGGTTAAACCTTACCTTTTTCCAGTGCTGGGCGGGGAGCTCTCCTCCTCTGATCCTCCTCTTCTCCTCCCCGTCGGCTGAGTGCGCACGCGCGGCAAGAGCTGCGCGCGCATTCAGCCGGTCACATAGGAAAGCATTCATAATGCTTTCCTATGGACGCTGGCGTGCTCTCACTGTGAAAATCACAGTGAGAAGCACGCAAGCGCCTCTAGCGGCTGTCAATGAGACAGCAGCTAGAGGAAATAGGGGAAGGCTTAACCCATTCATAAACATAGCAGTTTCTCTGAAACTGCTATGTTTATGAAAAAATGGGTTAACCCTAGCTGGACCTGGCACCCAGACCACTTCATTAAGCTGAAGTGGTCTAGGTGCCTAGAGTGGTCCTTTAATGCATGATAGTTAGTATTCCTCAAATATATTAGTTGGTTCTGCAAGCCAATTCTTTAGAGGCTTAGCTCTGAGAGACCTCAAATAGTTTTCATAAAGAGTTTGCATGATCAAAGTTTTGTTTCAGCCAGGGCATGTTATTTGAATAGCAAGCAGACATTACACATGGTAATTATGCTACCAAAAGTAAAGACTAGCATCTGCTATTTTCTAAAATCCATCCAGTAAGCAGCCGGCATTGACTCAATAATGAGAGCAGGAATTTTAGTCTCTAACCGTAATGATCACTTACCAGAGTCTGAAATACTAGCATAGAATTTCTTATGTTGACACATACAACAGGTGTGACAATCCTAGATAAATAGAAATAGTCTTTAAAAATTCCCATAACCAGGATATTAACCTAGCTTTTTAGGAATGCAGCTTCTGAGAAAGGCCATGAGAACGTAAAAATATATCTGCATGTGGACCACAAATCTTCCACTCCAGGTGCCCCTACGGAACTGACCACAGGATAGCATACATTGGAAGCCATTTAAGCAGCTTGTTATGATTTGTGTAGGACCCAGCTCACAGATACTGGGGTACTATGCAGCAGTTGGTTTAAACATGGTATGGTCATAAGTTGTATTTATATGCTTTCAAGGGTGATATTAAGTAGCCTTGTACAATTTAAAACTGTATGTTTTTGTGAGCTGTTAATGTGTATGTTTTAACACTATAGGGCTAGGAATACATGTTTGTGTTCCAGACCCTATAATGTTCCTTTAACTTAGTATGTAGCAATGGGCAGTACCATGAGCAATGTTTTATTCATACAGTAATAAATTATACCAGTAATTAAAAAATTTAGAAAAACTAATAATGCACAGGGAGTGACTGAATCGGCCAGGTAATCTTCCAGGTGCCTTAAAATGACTGTGACATGATCAACATCATTTTCTTTAAACAAATGCGCTCATGAATGTCGGGTGAACAAGGCAGTACTGGAACGGCAGATATACTGGTTCTTGAGTATCCATGCCGATCAGGAGCTGCTAGTTCACCATGAGGACCTGAAAGTGGTGGATAGGTTAAGATCACTGGGCTAACCCACCACTGGCTCACTCTGTCAATTAATGCCTCCCAAGTCGCATGAAATTGACCATGATACGCAGAAGTGTAAATTCCTCAGTATCATTGTGGCTGAGGAGAGGACAGTCTCTGACAAACATAGAGGTAACATTTTAACACAAACAGCTATTAAAGGGTTTGACACAAAATCAGCAGCAAGAAACTCTACGTAACATAACCAGTACAAAGGAGCAGATATTATACTCTTACATAATAAATTGTAAACAATAGAAGTAAGTAATATACGTTTA